AAAAAATGGGAAAGTCTAATTAATATTGCTTAAACCCTGTCTTTGCCAAAATATGAACATATAACTATCGAGTTTTCTTATATAAACATGTACTTCTGAATACTTATATGTAAAACTCCTTGAACCTTCCAACACATCTATATAGCTTCTTTATTTCTCAATATCCCCCCCNACACAATTTAGATGGAATTTAATTATACATAAACATAATTAATTATTAATTTTACCTTGAAATATGCAGTTTATTATAAATGAATATTTAATGAATGAATTGTAATGTGTGAGAGGAATAATGTTTATGTATGATATATTTGCATTGTTATAAATTTGGAAAAAAAATAAAAAATGTACAAATAACATAACTTATTAAATCAAAATTACTTGTGTTTAAATACAATACAAAAAAGAATTCATTCATCGTTAAAACGTATATTATCATGGAAGAATGTCATCCTTATATACAACAACTTTTATTACCTGACTCTATTTAAGAGTATATGAAGTATTTTTGACTGTTTTAATAAAAAAAATCCCTGGAAAAGACTGAAAACCCGTAAAATAATGTCAGAGTGCAACAGTCGACTGTTGTACATACACTTACTGTTGCATGCGCGACGATCGTGCGCAGACAATTTCCCCGTCAGCGGCCCATTCAAGCGACTTTTTGATACAGATTTGTTTGTTGTCGTTTGGTGAAAATGGCGAATAACGGCAGATTTTAGGGTGTTTCTGAGCAAGATTTGGAATTGATTATTAAAAATAGGGATTCTCTTAGCACAAAAAACGTCATTAAGGGAGCTGTGAATATTTTGGATAAATGGTATGCAGAGAAAGGTGTTATGATCGACGAAAGCTGCAGTAATGTAGAACTGAACGAGTTTTTGTGTAGATTAATTGAGAACCAAGGAAGTTCTGTCAACTGTCTGTATACACGTGTGTTGTCCCGTCTGGTAAACAGTGTATGTGACGTCATCAGTTCGGAATGCATGAACATTCTGACTGAATTGTACTTACTTGGACCTGCTCCTTGCACGAATAAAGTACCCTATATTCCCGCCACTATATTTTGGCTACTGGGTAAAAACTTACTGTCCAGTGGTCATTCTTACAATCCGACTCGTGAGAGACGGATCTGTACTCCAGATTTACTGATAGAACTATTGATAGATTGACTATATGGCGTGAAGATACATTGCCGCCAGCATGTATTCTCAGGCTTATACTAGGAACATTATTCCCGGTATGTATAACCAACCGTATAAATATAATAACTATCGTGTGATTGTAACATTTAGTTATTTGAATTACTATAGTTATAGCAGTCCGTATTCAAAGGTCCGGTACCTCGGTCGGCGCGGAAGTTGTGTAGTATTTATTGTATGTATATGAGAGGGTGAATGTATTTACTGTATTGTCCTGTATTGTAGGTTTATCGGAGATAGTAAAGAAAGAGATATACATGAAACAACTTGTCCGAGTTATGATATTAAACTGAGCAACCGGTATCGGTACTGATTTGTAATTGTTATGTAGTTTCGTTGTTGTCTTATATATAATTACGGCGCACGAACCTTGCAATTTGTGATCCAGGCGTTTAGGCAGAGACGTATATAACACATTTCTCTGGTTTAGGTGACTTAAACGTCTCTGGGGCCTGGCATTTTGCCATCTGGACGAATGGATGTGTTACAGTTTCTAACAGAAAACCAATGCACATGCATCATTCTGACACCATGTTGTGATATTCCACAAATCATCACACGAGAGGTTGCTGTATTTGAATTTATGAAATGCCGAAATCTGACGCACACAGCCCCTGCATAGTGAAATTGCACAGGAAATGCTTCCAATAAGCGGGTAAACACCTAACAGCAGGCAGGCTTGAAAACAATCTTGCATGCGTTACACTTTAGATGGACACAACCCATGATAACACTTACAGACAGGCACTCGGCAAACATTGCTGCGACAAAATACACCAACGCATTGCCTTCCATCCCCCTCTCACCCAACCTCACGTTGCTTTGCTTTCTTAGAAGAAATGATAAGTCTAAAGGGGGAAATAATATAATTGACATAAGTGATTTTGATAGTGGTACAATTGAAAATACAAATATAACCATCACAAAGCAATATTGGTCTGCATCGCTCACCTGGTATTCATTTCACAGGCAAGATACCTTTACCTATAACACTAGTTAATTTAATAGAACCTGTATCTGTCTTTGAAATTGGCCAACTATCATTACTTTAGGCAACTCAGTTATAATCAGAAGAAGCCGTTGAAATATTTTAAGCACACGTGGAGAATGTGACCTTAAGCATGTATCTGGTCATATATCATCACCAAAATTCTTTTGGTTATACAACATAAGTCCTTTTAATTAGTTGTCATTCATTTGAACAGACATCGTATGTCTTTATTTGAGCGAGTAGGTGGCCAAACTAGGCATTCTGGTTTTTCAGAAAAAAAGTACTTTACAGCTTTCGGCGTATATTACCCCTGTGACCTTGGATATGAATCAAGGTATTTGGTCCTTGTTTTTAAGATTATTCAGATTTGTTAAATTGTTTTTGTGACACTTGACCCCTGTGAACTTCATAATGATGGAAGGTCATTAATTTCAACAAATTTTGTTTATCCCGAAATTCTACGGGCCCCATAGCTATAGTTAATAACTATTCATCTCGGCATGTTATAAGCCCTTTATTGTTATTAGTTTTTAACACATTTGACCCTTGTGACCTTAATTATTGTGAAGGTCATTCATTTGAACAAAATTGTGTAACCCTTTAATTATTAGAAAGAGATAAAACTGTGATAAAATTGTTGTCAATGTGGTAGACAACTATGTAAAACATCTTTATTGGAGAAAGCGACAAACCCAATATCATAGTATCAATTCAAAAAAAGCGCCCGAGTATTGGACCTACCGAGGCCGACTTGCCCTTGTAGATGGTGTTGTACTAAAAGGGCAGAAAAAACTGTCAGGAGCGCCGAAGCACCGATACCAAAGGAACCATTACAGCCACACGAGATTCCGAAGTACCCGTGGCAGTCAGTTGCAACAGACCTATCTGAATATGACGGCAAGTCGTACATAGTCATAGTAGAATATTATAGCCGCTTCGTCTGGGTCTTGTAGGTCGATTGCAAGAAAACCGGTCATTCGTAAAATCAAAAGCGTCTTTGCTCGGTTTTGAATCCCAGAAAAGGTTGTCTCGAACAACGGTCCGCAGTACTCGTGCGAGAAATTCGCGAATTTCGCAACAGCATTTGATTTTGTTCATGTAACTTCAAGTACCAGAAAAATGTCATGATCGGGTCATTGAAACGTGCGACATTAGTCAACTCAAAATACGTTACAAAGCGGTCAAGAAGTGATTAGAAGTTGCTATGTGGTGGTCAGTAGAAATAATGTGGTGGTTAAAAGGTGGCGAGTAGGTGTCAGCAGTTGTCCATTAGTGGTCAGGAGTTGGTCAGTAAGGGTCAAGCAATATCCACTGGTGTTCAAGCAAAGGTCAGTAGTGGTCAAGTGGTGATTGGTATTGGCAAGATGATGGTCCGCATTGTAAAGTGGTGATCAGTAGTAGTCAAGTAGTGGTAAAAATCTGAATGTTGAATGTCGTGTGTCGAGTTGATCACGTTCATTATATAAAAAAAATCAAATGTTCCATGTCGAGCTGCTGCTCAACAATTAAAAGATGAATATTGAATGGACAATGACCACTGAATTATAGCCCTTAGTTGCTTTATTCGACTAACACTTCCCTCATGTCTCCACAAGCCTCTGGGGAATGTGAAAGTCTTGCGTCACTTTCGAGCTGCTCAACATTTTAAATCTGGGTGTTGAATATTGTATGTCGAGTCAAGTGACATTCAAATTACTTAACCATATCCATATGATGTCCTATTCGCCCCCCCCCCCCCCCCCCCCCACACACACACACACACACTCTTTCTTCCCACAGCCTCTTATATACTGAATGAAAAGTTGAATGCCGAGCGTCGTATATCGAGCTCGTCATCATTCAAAATATGAATGTCAAATGTTGTATGTTTAGCTGCTTAACATTCAAAATCTGAATGTCGAATATCGCAATTGTTTTTCATATTTGATCCGTGTGACCTTGAACGTAGGTAAAGGTCACTTATTTGAGGACACTTTATAGCACTCTATCCCTGGTACGCCCTTGGTCAAAATCAGGATATCGGGTCTTTCAGAATTCAAGGGGCAGTTCTTCAAATAAAAAACTTGACAGACGGACGACGAACAAGGTATCATACACTAGTTCACTGCCAGAGGAGCTAAAGTTGCATACATTCATCACAACCTCAATTATATTTTACACTTACAAATATTATAGTCTCTCGTACATTGCTCATTAAAACGCATTTCATACTCACATATAGGACATACTCAAATGTATTACATTCACATACATTATACGTATACACTGTCACACGTAATAACTCCAATATATTTCAAACACAAATTTAAAATACAAGCACATACATTAACGCTAAGATACATTATGTACTCAAATATTATATGTTCACACATTATATATCCATTTATTACAAATACATAAACATTATGTACCTAAATTCTTACATATTATACAATCACATGCATTAATCAAATATTATTCACTCTTATCACGGAATTATAGCAAGTCCTTTGTATTACACAAACATACAGTATACACTCACATACATTCTTCCCTGAAATAAGTTATTATGTGTTTCCATCAATAACTGGCATCCGCTGTTATGCTGCTGCAGACCATACAACCACCCCTATTAGGGTACAATGTTAAACGTCACAATTGCCCTGAAAACGCTGAAGACTATACATCGGTGCAATTACGGGTGTACACGTTATGAACGTTGTTAAATAACCTGGAATACACTTCGTGTTTGTTGTACTCTCACGATGAAATGGGCGCTCTTTTAACCATTTTGAATTACATTGATCTTTCATGAATCATGTCTTTTGCAATTCTGCAACAAACTATTACATTACTTTATAAGTATCTATTTGATATGCCATTTTATCTAGGCACAGTTTCTTTTTCCGCTAGCATATATAGACACGCACCAATACACACATTACACATTTACATGTATTACACACTTACAGATAACGTCCACTGTGGTCGTGTCTGTCTGGGGTGGTGTCTCACTGAAGTAGTTATTTTTCCCCTCACACGTCCATCTGTCCCCGTGACTGTAACTGTTGGCGGGAATCTGTATCCCCAGTGTCCTCGTGTCTCTGTTACAGGTAATTGTGTAGGGTGACACTGATGGACATGATGTCCCACTGTTTATATACATTGCACCTATTTCACCTACACCATCATTTAGTCTATAGTTAAAACCAGGATATTGTCCTGTGTAGTCAGCTGACCACTGACACGTGATACTGAGGGTCTGACCGGACACGACCCTGGCTGTAGGACTTGGACTGACCACCACAGATAACCCAGTTACACCTGTACAGATGAGAAAAGCGATGATAAAAAGTATGGTATGTTGTTACTATGTTCAGTGTATATATGTAGGCACGGGTGAAGGGTTAAGAGTCAGATTGATCCACGTGTATATTGAGTATATAAGTATTTAGCCATTGTCGACATTAATTGAGATAAAAGTAGTTGTAAGTTTGTTTTACAGAGATTCATTGCATTTACTCTCGACTTTTACTGCAAAAAATATCTTGGTTTACGACTTTTTAAAGGCTATATGCCACTCCCTGATTGTAATGGACGTTAACACTGTTAAACGGCGTATTAATTTAAAGGTTGCCGAACCTAAAATCAGCGTTACTGTAGTATGTGAACAATACATGTAACTGATCGGTACACGTATGTCTCTCATCAGTTAAAGTACTTACATGTATAAACACATACATTCAACTCGTAATTCAAGCAAGCATCAGTTTCCTCACGTTATAATCAATAATCAAAAACATATCTCAGATTTTTACCTTTGTCGATATATTTAGTAACTTTCTGTCCAATATTTTCTATGATTTTAAGTAACCTGACCAGAGCTATGTTCACAGGTGAAAAAGTATGTAACTCTGTGTGCGAAATGTGATTAATCGCGTGCTATATACATTTTATTGTTAACATACGAACACAATAATAACGCAGTTGTCGCGAATCAACATTTAATACGCAATTTTGATTTATAAGATAGAAACGATATAGTTACGTTATAAAACACTCACTGCGATATATATATATATATATATATACTATACTATTTATGCGAATACAACCACAACACGAGTTTCTATATATAGAACGAACGATCAGGAACGTATGACAAAGACTGTAACATGTACGAGAACAAAACATAGTATTGGAGCATAGCATTGAGGCACACAGCATATCATCATTAAAGGTGTGTATATATATATGTATGTTGTTCAATACACGTTCACTGTAGGTATTTTATTTTATCATAGGAGCATACCATTGGAATATATGTTATTTACTAGTTGTTACTGTCGTTATTTTATCAGCGACAAGGAAGTAAGGTATCTATAATTGTAGCCAGTTGTTATATATTTTCTCTCCCTTCACCTTATATAAGAAATCTTACTTTGGAATGGTGTGATGTACAGCCATAACAAACACTGTAATCGTCTGTCCAGTGTCATACTGACCAGGTCGAGGATCACACAACTGGTGTACAATTTGTTAACGAGTACCCGAATACTTCCTGGTCTATTTTGAGAATCTCTGTAGCAGTTATGTCCCTTACTCCACTAATTATCTCTAACATTAGGGCTGAAAGGCATTGAACTCGATATACCAATGTTACTGCTTACGCGCCACCGCTATTCGTGTGTAAACAAGACAAATACATAGGGTAAACAGATATACTTGTGCATAAGGTGATCACAGCAATACTGGTGCATAGTGTGACAACAGAAATAGTATCACATAGGGTGGCAATAGTTATACCAGTACATTGGTTACAACAGTAATGCTAGTACAAAGGTTACAACAGTAATAATAGTTTTGGACACAGCATTGATATTGGTACGTATGCTGAAAACAGTTATATCAGTTCATAGGGTACATGGCATGTTGATGTATTTGCCACCTTGTGATAGCAGTGATCTGAATCAGACTTCAGAGTTAAGCCTCACAGACACCCCATGCTGAAGGCATCTAGCACAGTATTTCAACCCGTCACATTATATTGACAATGGTTGCATATTCCCTCTTGTGTTATATACTGTAGACATTATTATCTTACTGTAAACCACTGTCGATACGAAGAACAGACGTCTTCTTCAGGTTTATCGAAGTTTTTTTGGGCACAGGAAAAAAACAACCTGAAACAAAGCAACAAATAAAATAATGTTATAGTGAGCATTACATCACAGTTACATAACAAGATAGACAACTCTTATTCAAGAAAAGTTGCCTCAGCCCCGCGCTATTGTACATCTCAAAAGTATCGAAGTTATTACCAGGACGTCAGCACGCTTTACCATAAAAGTAATAGGCATTACCAATACCTATAATTAGCCGGACTACGCGGGAAAAACCTACTCGTGCTCAAATACCTACCATATCGTTTGGACAGGGGTCTACAGTACAGTGTGCCGCAGGATGCTCCGGTCAACAAAGAGTGTGACGGTATATAAGACCTCCAGTTAAACAATAAGTATGAACCAATCATCATAAGTTATAATTGCTGTGCATATCTGACATTACAGAAATATTACAATAGTTTGCATTACATGAATATAGAGCATTTTACTCAAAAAATAGTATAACATGCCCACATTACGTGGAGGTTCTTGACACTATGCGCTCCTTACAGTTCACAAAACTAAAAGTAAAATTGTTTAAATACCCCGTTGAAATAGTACTTACCGATATATTTGTTATTTGCCATTAATTATAAGCATAAAAGAAAGCTTACCTGTATCCCAGTTCCGTACCGGTCTCGTCATACATGTTAAGATAAATATCTGCAGAAATCACAGAGGCAATACGAACCCCAAAAGTGAAATATATAACATGTCCCAACCCTAAAGGTCTAACAGTCAGAACAAAAGTCGGAGGACCAAAGGCTCCAACACAAAGGATTAGTAACTTGGACATTATCTTAAAACCGCAATGCAAAGATGTAAAAAGTTTCGTGCTAGAAAACGTTGTAGTAAATTAATTTATAACATTGTGAAATAACGGATTCTATCAACTTGATAAACCTGATGACACTGTGACAAATACCAAAATTGTGAAAATATCACTTTTTGGTATTGACCAGTCATAACGTATCATCTATTCTCTGCATTCAAAGGCAACGCTTTTTTTCCAGATGCAAATAAAGCGACGGTAGAATAAGTGGTTGTTATGGTAAATGTTTATTACACTTGAGTATTTACATAGAAATACTATTAATAACATTGTATAAGCAGTCATACCAGAAAATAGCAGAAAACGTCGAAATCACGAAACGTGAATATATACCGAACATGAAACAACCTTAATAAAATATTGATTAACGACCAGAGAATTAAGAAGGTATTAGATAAATCAACAACTGTCAACAGCAATAAATAGGCCAACAATCTCAAACGAATTTGCAAATCAAAATACCAAACAAATGAGAACTGTGAAGTCCGCACATGCACATTTTTTTAGCAAAAGGAAAATCGTACGAAAGGAAAGTCGGAGCACTTCTAAATAAATTCTGCAATGACAAGTAGGACACAAATTTTACGAGTCCGAGTGCATAAACAACACAAACATTTTCCTGAATATCGGAAAATCAAACCTTAGCGAACTTCTTGATGTATGCGGAAAAAAACCCTTAAGATATTCCCTTTTGATATTAAGTATAAACACGGACACTGTTTTAGATAAAAAAAGAAGGAAAAATATGTCATTAATTTGCTTAAACATAAACTAAATAGTCTTATATAAGATTAATCATTCATTGTATACCGTGGCACACCATATATATGACGTCATAATGTATTGTCCTTCTCCAGCACACGACAATTACCCTGATATAGATGTTGTTATATATAAGTTGTATTTCTCGTATTATTTTGATATAATTGAAGGATAAAGTACGTAACCAGTTATGCTATGTCGTTTAATGGCTATCAAACTGCCTTTATCTTTACCCACCTCCCATTGCCCCCCAAATTTACGTCAATGTCTGCATTCAACGTAAATATAAACAATTGATCAATGAGCTAGCCGTATATATAGCCGGACACATGCATGTGCACATTGATATCGTGACTAGCATATTCCTGGTCATTTTGGAACTCCGGAAAGTATACAAACCGAGATAATGAATAGGAAATGGGGGTTCTGCATAAATCCGTCCCTCCCTCTATATTTATAGTAAATCCCTCCCTGACGGGATGGATCAGTGATGGACCAGTGAGGGATGAGGGACTGACCCCTTGACCTTGTGAGGGATGAGGGACTGACCCAATGATCATGACCTTTCATAGGAATTCCTTCTCAAAATAGATTGAATTCCCCATAGGGAACATTGAGGGACTGCCTTGCGTCAAGTCTATTTTGAGAGAAACCGGTTCGGTCCGCTTCTATATTGCGGTATCGTAGTTATTTAAGCCCGGTGTGGGTTTTCCCCAGGTTTCAACCGGATCGTTGATGTTCTGGAATCTTCTAGCACATAATACAATAACAACGCAAATGTAATGTACAACCATTTATTGTCTCTGTCGATAGAACAGACACGGGTCAGAGACCCATCTCGCGTCAGCCCTTACAATATAAAACCTAGCATGGACAATGTTTACACTAATGAGAGCCATCTACCATCCATGTTATGATACTGAAGCGATAATGTTAATGTTATGCTCTTTCCCATAACATGGGGTCTTGAACCTTTCTAGGGTAGTTCACTCTCCTACAAATCGGTTATATCAGACGCGCGTGTATATTATACACCTTTACTTACAAAAGCGTTATCAGTTGAAGTTTAAATATCCAGCTCTAGCAGACAGCTTTTGAGAAAAATAGTGAAAACCAGTCGAGCGTCTCTTTACCTGTAGAGCGCCATTATCTCGCTGTCAGTCAAGGTCTCACTGTATGTGTGAATCAATCCCACATGTACATACGCCACCAACGGACAGACAATTGTTAAACAAATATCGTGTTGTAAACATTACAGCTTACAACATTTCTCTTATAAGTTATAATAGTTTACTGTTTTACTATCCCGGTATAATTCGTTAACCTGCAAACCTGTATGCTTCCCTATCACAACGATAAATACATCGTATGTGTCACCATTGCAAATGGTATGTATGTGTATACACACATCTATATGTGTATCGTATGACGTTGGTTCTAAATTTAACCTCACTGTGTTCAGTTCAGTTCTTTATTACCTTGAACCTTACGGCTCATCAGTTCAAAATAAACATATATACAAGGATAAACAATACAATCATTCACACCCACATCGACACCCACCCATAAATACACACTTGCATATCCATTGGTATAGTGTAGAGAGACCTTTCCCTTTATATTGGTACATAGTCTTTTCTTTTCTTATTACTCAGTTTAATATATATGACTAAATTTGTTAACTGGTTTTTTTTCTTCACTTTTTCCATAAGTTGGATACATTTATACATGCTAGGTCTTTCATAGTAATATTTCTTAATAAAACGTTTTCTTAAATCTACAACACATTCACATTTTAAAATAAAATGAAATTCATCCTCGATATCCCCACTGTTGCAGTATGCTCATGTTCTTTCAATCCTATCTTCATTGTTATACCTACCACCTTCAATATCTAATTTGTGAGATGACAGTCTAATTTTTGTAATTTCTTGCAGATTTGTATTTCCTATTGGTTTTGTTAGATATGGTTGTAAACAGAAATGTTCGCCAAAGATGAATCTATTTGTTCTTTACATTCTTGCTTATATAAATCACGCATTCTACTTTTAATCATATTCATAATATAATCGGATGTATAGGTATCTCCGTATTGCCATATGTACCCTACTCCCATTCTAAATAGTACGTTTTTTACTCCATTCATTCATTCACTACCATTTTCTAACATTTCTTGATAACATGCATGTAAAACAGAATTATCAGTTTGTTTTAATTTTAACCAGCATTTAAAAAAAAATCTAAATTTCCTAATTATTTCCAAAGGTAATCTTCCTAGTTCTTGGTAAACCATAAAAGTTGCCGTAGATTTCTTAACTCCTAATAATCTTTTACAAAAAACTTAAATGTATTTTCTCTATATCTGGTGCTTTATGAAAGCCCCAAACTTTCACTCCATAACTAAATATACTACAGACATATGTATCGAAAACATGAAGCTGAGTTCCAACGTTAAAATATTTTTTCTTATACACGTTTGATACTGAAAACAGTGCTTTTCTTCCTTGTTCCGCGATTTTCTTTTTGTGGATTCTTTTTTTTTTTTTTTGAATTTACAATTATAATTCCTTAATATTCCCAGGTAATTAGATACTTCTACAATATCTAATACACATCCATCAAAGAACCACTTATCTTCCTCTCTTAATTTACCTCCGTTACGGAAAACCATCACCTTGGTTGTAGAAGTATTAATCGTAAGATTCCATTTATTTGTATAAAGTGATAATGCGTCTCATATTTTCTGCAATCCCTCAGAAGTTTCGGTCAATAACACCATATCGTCTGCATACATCATTAAAAATAAATTAATAGTTTGTAGCTCTATAGAAGGACACCCTTCTGTTAAAAAATTCATTTCGCAATCATTGAAATACCAAGAAAACAATAGAGGAGACATAATTTCCCCTTGACATATCCATTTTTCATTGAAAAAAGTCTGACATGTTTTTGATATACTTTACACAACATTTAACATCTCTGTACAAATAACATGTAATATTCAACATCTTTCCTTCTATACCTTCTCTGATAAGAACGAAGTCAAAAGCTTTTTTGTAATCAATAAAACAGCATGTGTATACCTAGTTTAGAAATACACCTTGATGATAGTAATGCAAGTGTATTTAATTGTCTCTGTCAATAGAACGGACGCAGGTCAGAGACCCGCGATCGGTTAGTATGTGGTCTCAGAAGTGAGAATATACAGCGAAAATTGTTGTCGGAAGCTACGCTAACATATGAAACCGCAGTAGAGCTGTCAACCGCAATGGAAACTGCGCAACGGGATGCCACTGAACTTCGTGGTAATACAAACACTGTACACAAAATTCATGTAAATAAAGGACAGAAATATCAACACAAGTCTGAAAAATCCCCACAATTCCCTGCAAAGAAAAATAACTCCAACAAGAAATGTTTTCGATGCACAAAAACTGGCCATGACCCAGACAAGTGTTTTTACAAGAATTCAACCTGTCATGCATGTGGTAAGGAAGGCCATATAGTTAAGGCATGTTTCAGCAAGGGAAAGGATGGAGGAAACAGGATGGTCCATTACATGAAGAATGACAACTCCGATGATGAGTATAATCAGATAGCGTCGTTGTTTATCAATACCGCAAGCACTGGTAAGGCACCGATAACTTTAACACCACACATTAATGGTCATGAACTCAAAATGGAACTAGACACTGGTTCCGCTGTGTCGGTAATCACAGAGAAAACTTTCAAAGACAGTCTACAGGGCAATGTGAAAGACTTAAAAAAACTAAGGTGTGTTTAAAGACCTACTCAGGTGAGAAATTAGACACCGTGGGAATTGCGATTGTGAAAGTTGACCATAATGGCCAGCAACGCGACCTTGACCTCTACGTAGTCAAAAAGGGAAGCAACCCTTTATTCGGTCGTGAATGGATTAGGGAAATTACACTGGATTGGGTCGCAATAAAGGCAGTCACAACACATGGAAAGGATGACAAAACCCCATGGTTAAAAGGTAAACTAGATCAGCTACTACAGGATCACAAGTCAGTTTTTCGGGACGACTGGGGCAAAATGAAGGACATCAAAGCTAAACTGAATCTCAAGCCGGAGGCTGTGCCAAAATTTTGTAAGGCCCGACCCGTACCTTACGCAATCCGACCCTAAAGTGGAGGCAGAGATCAATCGTCTAGTTGAGGAGAATGTGTTGACCAAAGTAACCTACAGTGAATGGGCGACTCCAATTGTTCCGGTTATTAAGAAAGACGGCTCCGTCCGTTTATGTGGCGATTTTAAGGGAACAGTCAACCCGCGACTGGAAGTTGACCAGTACCCATTACCAAAAACCAGCGATATCTTCGCATCATTAGCCGGTGGAAAAACATTTTCAAAACTAGATTTGCAACACGCATACCTGCAAATGGAAGTGTGTGAGGAATCAAAACCGATTTTGACGGTTAACACTGAGAAAGGTCTGTATCATTTCAACAGACTGGTGTATGGCATTGCATCGGCACCAGCAATTTGGCAACGTGCCATGGATACTGTGCTACAGGGAATCCCTGGAACCCAATGCATCACTGACGACATGTTGATCACAGGAGACTCTGATGAGGAGCACCTAAGAAACCTCAAGGCTGTTCTAGAACGTCTAGACCAGTATGGTTTGCGCCTCAAGAAGGAAAAATGCGAGTTTTTCAAAACAAAGGTCTCATTCTGTGGACATGAGATAGATGCTGAGGGACTACATAAGTCAGAAACGAAAGTAAAAGCGATGAATGAGGCACCAGCGCCCCGGGATGTGTCAGAACTTAGAGCATTTCTTGGGCTCGTAAACTACTACGGAAGATTCATTCCGAATCTGGCAGCTGTCCTGCATCCTCTACACGAACTCTTACAGAAGGACCACAAGTGGCACTGGAGTGAATCGTGTCAGGCAGCATTTGCGGAGGTCAAAGGCCTTGTGACGTCAAAGGAAGTCCTCACGCACTACGACCCAGAGAAACCTGTCAGACTAGCATGCGACGCATCTCCTAAAGGACTGGGAGCTGTACTTTCGCACGTCATGAACGATGGAAGTGAGAGACCTATTGCTTATGCTTCGAGATCGCTCAACAAAGCCGAGCGAAACTATTCACAAATAGACAAAGAAGCATTAGGACTAGTCTGGGGAGTGAAGTACTTCTATAACTACATTTTCGGAAGGAAGTTCACACTGATAACTGACCATAAGCCGTTAGTTTCGATCTTCAAACCCGACAAGAGCATCCCAGGGATGACCGCAGCTCGTATGCAGAGATACGCATTGTTTCTATCAGGTGTACACTATGACATTGAATACAAAAGCACTACAGCACATGGAAACGCTGATTGCTTATCGCGTCTACCGCTAACGACACAAGGAAGTGGAGATGATGAAGATGACGAAAAGGCTCTCCACTCACTGCATGTTTCGCAGTTAGAACACTTACCTGTTACCGAAACTCAGGTTCGACGAGAAACAGCTCGCGATCCGACTATGAGTCGAGTACTCAACGCAGCGCAATATGGCTGGAAAGAATTCCCCGACGAGGAACTGAAAATGAAACCCTACACCAGGAGGAGTTCAGGAATCACATTACATGAAGGATGCCTACTATGGGGCATGAGAGTCATCATACCACCCAAACTACGTGACGACGTTCTACGAGAACTTCATGAGGGACATATTGGGGTGGTACGCATGAAAGCACTAGCTCGAAGCTACGTGTGGTGGCCCGGTATAGATGAGGCTATTGAAAACATTGGCAAAAGTTGTGCAGGTTGCCAGGAGGTGAAATCTGCACCACCTAGAGCACCACTCCATCCATGGGAGTGGCCATCAACACCTTGGGAAAGGATCCATATAGACTTTGCTGGACCGTTTATGGACTCTATGTTCTTGATCGTTGTTGATGCTCATTCGAAATGGCCAGAAGTAGTTCCCATGCGAACTACGACAGCAGAGAAAACAGTAGATGTTCTAAGGAACATATTCGCTAGGAACGGAGTACCGCGCCAAGTTGTTAGTGATAATGGCCCACAGTTTGTGTCCGAGCACTTCAAAAACTTTATGAAATTGAACGGGGTCAAACACATTACATCAGCACCCTACCATCCGAGTAGCAATGGGCTCGCGGAACGTTTTGTACAAACCTTCAAGGTAGCTATGAAGTCTAGCAGGAAAGACGGCGGCTCAACACAGAAGAATCTCGCAAAGTTTCTTCTCGCATATCGAAACTCGCCTCATGCTACGACCAACGAGACGCCCTCCAAGCTATTTATGGGAAGATATCTGACGACTCGACTTGACTTGTTGCGTCCAGACACAAGACGACGAGTGGACAAACAACAAGATAAAATGCGAGAAATCAGGACGCGACTGCGCTTATTCGAAGTAGGAGAAAAAGTGTCGGTACGCGATTATCGGGGTAACCGCAAGTGGTTATCAGGTAAAATTTCCGAACAGACCGGACCTGTTTCGTATAGAGTCGAAATCGCACCAGGAATCCTGTGGCGACGTCATGTTGACCAAATCAGAAACGCGCAAATTCCAGCATCTCCACTGCCGGAATACATCATGTCGAAATCTTGCAAGCCAGCAGTGTGCCGGAATATTGAACCGATTGTGTTACCTCAAACAGACACACCATCACGTAACGTGTCTGCGCGTCAGGATCATCGTGCTGTCGAGAAACACTCAGAGGCACCACTTGTGGTTCCTAATCAACCAGAGACACCAAGGGTTCCACGTCCAATAATTGCATCCTTAGTTCGACCGCGAAGGAACATTCAGCAACCAAAGAAGTTTGATGACTTTGTGCGTTATTGACTGGTTAATGTTTATTACCGTGACACACTGTGTTAAAACGGGCATAATAATCCCTAGTGTGATCACAGGAACCAGAAAGGTTTCTTGTTAAAAACAATGTTATGATGTTGTTATTTTCAATGTTCAGAATAGAAATTATTATTATTATTTGCTAAGTTCAGGAGAAGTGTATAAACTTGATAAAGGTAATATAAAGTATCCATTGACAACTTACATTAGTAACAAAAAACAAACATTTAAGTCTTGTAAAAGACATTTAAAAAGCTAGAAAGGAGGAATTGTAGTGTATAAGACATTCCGGATATTACTATCCGTCCGCTCATAATACTAGTCACGATATAGAACTCTCCTGTATGGAGGTCAATAAAAAGAGTCTTGAATTTACTACCAAACATGGCTGTTGTTCAGTTTGTTCTGAGGTCACAGAAACCCACATACACGACAATCTCTACGTGAGAAACTTCTGTTACACTCTGGGCACGATGTACACTGCATGGCTGTTAAAATGGAAATGAAGACAATTTCTATATGGTGTCCTTTTTATAGCTCTTGGATGTCGGTTTCTTGGATCCAGCTGTTAATTTTTTCCGGGTAACCGAGCCATTTCACGTAGACTTCCTTTATTCCATTTCTCTTGCGTCGTTTCAATACCTTTTCCACCTTAAACAGGTCGTCTCTTCCCTTTCCGACCTTTTGTAGCTCACTATTATAAAACGTCCTTGCTATCGGATCTCCCTCGTAGTCCACGATTTTGTAAACGGGTATACCTTGTCGGAGGTATCGCGCTTTAATGGTGAACACTTCTTCTGTCCATTTCTGTTCATAATCTCGTTGAAACGTGCGTCTGTTACTAAATATCCGTACTACATCTCCTATTTTAAACTTGAAAGGTTTTGATAATTTCTTTTTCCTTGGAGTTCTAGCCTTCTTGTGATCTACATACACATGTTTCCATACGAGTGCTTGGTTTGACGTATTGATTTCGTTTGGATATTTCCCATCAAGTGCACTGTGAGGCCTTGCATTGTAATTCCGGACGATATCTTGCAAAACATTCAAGTAATGATAGGACCTGGTGTGCGTGAAATAGCGGTACATGAGTGTTTTCAATGTTCTGATCATCCCTTCGGCATAATTTGCATGCGTTGCGTTATGAGTGACCTGGTGGTCTACCCCTTCTTTATCTAAATATTGCTTCACCCATCTATTTCTCCATTCACTTCCTGGATCCGATCTCACTTCTCTAGGTTTTCTGCCCTGGTTAAAAATCTTTTTGAATCCATCGATGATTGTGTTGTGAAGCTTGTTTTGAAGAGGAACTACCCATAGGAGGCGTGAAAACACATCAATGGCGACGAATAGATAACGCATACCATCGTTTTCTTTTCCTAGGTTGGATACATCAGCAAGATCCACATCCCATAAAAGCATCCAGACCCTGAGATATAACTTTCCTAGTCCGAAACTTGTAACGAAGTGGGCGTTGTAAACTATAGGCGTCAATATCCTGCATGAAGTGACGAATAGCATGAAGGCCGACCTTGAACTTCCCATCTTTTCTTAAAAAATTGTAGATCTTTTCTGGTCCTGCATAACTAATGGGACTACTCAGGTCAAAGTAGATACGGTTCAAGTGTTCTCTCCAACTCATTGTTGCAGAATGGAACAATAATAAGTTATTTATACTGAGCGAATATATGTCTACATGCTATAGCCAGTTGCTCTTAAAATAGACTTGACGTAAGGTAATCCCTCAATGTTCCCTAAGGGGTTTTCAATCTATTTTGAGAGGAAATTCCTATGAAAGGTCATGGGGGTCAGTCCCTCACAAGGTCATGGGGTCAGTCCCTCATCCCTCACTGGTCCCTCACTGATCCATCCCGTCAGGGAGGGATTTACTATAAATATAGAGGGAGGGACGGATTTATGCAGAACCCCCATTTCCTATTCATCACCGAGATCAGTGTATACTTCCGTCACCTGTTTGTACTTAGACCTTTAATTGTTACAGACAGGTTTCGTTTTCCTTGTTTAGTTGTGCAATTTTGATGATCGGGAAATAAACACTCAAACTGTATGTGCGTCTGTCGTCAGATTTCCGGGAAGGCAATTTATTGATGTTAAATTCTAAATTAAACAAACTATGTGCTGTGTTGTGTCATGATTTGTTTCTCGGAAAACCCAAATGAGTCAGATGAGTGTGTGTATGATGTTTGGAAAAACTTGAATGTAGAAAATGCATTGAACGATAACGAGTTCAAGTGTATGTATCTTTATGTAGCGCGGCCGTCACATTCCACTTGTATTAAAGCAGTTATAACCGTGAACAATGCTCGGTATTCAGGCTATGAACTATAGAAAACAATTATTGATCGTTAACTATCGTATCACAATATTGACCTTCGATCTTCACTCAATGCAATGAAGTCATGTCTCATTCCTAAACGCAATATGTACACAGCCGGGTGTATATCCTGTAACGACACAATTACACTGCCGGTTCTATATCCAGTAACGACACCATCACCCAGCCGGGTTAGTATCCTGTTACGACACCATTACACAGATGAGTTTGAATCTAGTGACGACACCATTTCACAGACGGGTGTGTATCATGTAACGACACCATTACACAGCCGGCTGTGTATCCTGAAACGAAACCATTACTCAGCAAGGAGTACAATATATATCCTGTAACGACAACATTATAACGCCGGGTGTGTAGCGTACCAATATGTGAAAACAACCCAATATGTGAAAACAGGAAAAACTATATTAAATTCATTAATTACTGTGTTTAAATTACTTATTATTCAAACAAACTCTAATGTGAACCATCTAAACTAATTAAATCCACTAATTAGCAAAAGATTTTTTTATCACTTTTCACGAATTGGGTTGCACATGATAGGACTATCAACCCAATATGTGAAAACATGAAAAAAATGTTTAAAATTCCTAATTAACTTTCTGTTAATTACTAATTATTCAAAGTAGCTCTAATGTTAACAATTTCCACTAATTAGATAGACTAATTAGCCAAAATATACACAGTTTTTTTTACTTTTCACGAATTGGGTTGCACATGATAGGACTATCAACCCAATATGTGAAAACATGAAAAAAATGTTTAAAATTCCTAAATAACTTTCTGTTAACTACTTATTATTCAAAGAAGCTCTTATGTGAACAATTTCCACTAATTAGATAGACTAATTAGCCAAAAATATACAAAGTTTTTTTTTACTTTTCACGAATTGGGTTGCACATGATAGGACAAATCCTATCAACCCAATATGTGAAAACATGAAAAAAATGTTTAAAATTCCTAAATAACTTTCTGTTAATTACTTATTATTCAACGAAGCTCTAATATGAACAATTTCCCCTAATTAGATCAACTTATTAGGCAAAATATACAATTTTCTTTTTACTTTTCACGAATTGGGTTGCACATGATAGGACAAATCCTATCAACCCAATATGAGAAAACATGAAAAAAATGTTTAAAATTCCTAAATAACTTTCTGTTAACTACTAATTATTCAAAGAAGCTCTAATGTGAACAATTTCCACTAATTAGATAGACTAATTAGCCAAAAATATACAAAGTTTTTTTTACTTTTCACGAATTGAGTTGCACATGATAGGACAAATCCTATCAACCCAATATGTGAAAACATGAAAAAAATGTTTAAAATTCCTAAATAACTTTCTGTTAACTACTAATTATTCAAAGAAGCTCTAATGTTAACAATTTCCACTAATTAGATCGACTAATTAGCCAAAATATACAAAGTTTTTTTTTACTTTTCACGAATTGGGTTGCACATGATAGGACAAATCCTATCAACCC